CTTTCGCTGCGACACCCTTGTGACAAAAAGCGCTCGCTGCTGAACGAAACAGTTACTATTCAACGCCCTGTGCAGAAATAGTCGATAGTCACTAATAACCAAGCAGTTAGCAACACTTGTATGAATATGGTTGAGTGAAGGTAGGGACTCGGGCCCGTTTATGACCTCTGCGGAGGAACCCGGTCCCAACGCCTGACTCCCCCCACGCGCTAAGGGCTGGGTCAGATAATGTTATATTTTGTATATTCAAAATTATTTACAAATTATCGTAGTGATATGTCTGACTTCATTTGAGCGATTTTTCTACGAGATGTCTTTTTATCAATTTTTATATTTTTTTGTCTTTTTTTTTTTTATTTGAGGCCCCGGCAGATTGCGAGGCCCTAAGCTGTAGCTTTTTTAGCTTATACGTAAATCCGGCACTGCCTCTAATGGTAAATGTAATCTCGCTTCTTAGTCGCCTCTCGAGTGCAAAGGGTTAATAAATCGTACGTATCAAAAGGGCGTATATGTACGCTCTTCGCAGCGAAAGGATTAACGCACATTTTGTCGTTAAATACACAGAAGATTAGAAAACAGAAACGCGTAAGAAAAATGTTGAACGTCTAGAATCTACTTCGAAGCAATACTTTCGTTCCCTTCCTCTATTTGACAGATTCAGAAATTTTTGAAATATCGACAGACAGTTATATAGACGAGAACGTGACCGTGCGCTCTGTACGAGAGCAGAATTTTCATTATTTTTGACTGGATAACGCGCGTCCGTCGACAAACGGAGAGCATCGATTGAATTTCAAACGAAATTCAAATTACGTTTAATTCGGTTAGTCAACGAACGAACAAAAGCGAAGTAGAACGAAGGCGCGTGTGTACTGGTTGCGTGCGGTGTGGATTCGTAGTTTGGGGGATTCGATGCGTTGTACGGATTCTATTATCGACCTGCAGCCACAGTTCATTAAAACCGCATGAAATTTACAAAACACAAATCTTCGCGTTTCATTCGATCGTTCCTCCGAATATACCACTTTTCGTTTTACTTCTTTTCTACCTTTTTCTTTTTTTTTTTTTTCATCGTTGATCCATTTGATACACACTCGTCTCGTATATCTCGAATCTCGCTTGCTTTACACCGAACTTGTTTACAACGGTGTATTTCATTTTGTTCAATTGTACTTGAACGAAGGCTTTGCGTTACGAATAATTGTTTACTGTGAAATAAATTTTTTGGTGTCGCGTTTTACGCAACTTTTTCGATGTCGTTTGATTCATTTTAGAGGAGAAGGATAATACAGTTCCAATGGGCTGCTTTATCACTTTGATAAGAAAATAATAATTATTGTATCATATAAGTGATATAAGAAGGTAATATGTTAAGCACGAGGTTCAAGTGCAGGGAAAAGTAGCAAGACGCCGTTGTACGGTGATAACACAAACACAGACATTTATTGCAAAGAAGTTTCCATTACACGATGTATAAAACGTGCAACGCACGACTCTCTCCAAGAACAATTGAACAGTCAACCGAGGCGTTCCACGAGACGCCGCAGACCATCTGGGCGCCCGACCGTCGGTAACCTAGAGAACTTCCTCACACGATAATTATCATATTTTGCAATATTCTTTTGAATACGGTATATTTTTATACACTATGCATGAAATTATGTCTGAATTTAAATATTAACGAAGGAAAATAATAGAGTTCCAATGGCTGTTTTATCACTTTAACAAGAAAAGAATAATTATTGTATCACATAAGTGAAATAATTTCTGAAAGAAAAGTAATTTGCGTTATTTTCAAGGACCATTCTTCAGAATGATTTAATTCATTTTAACGACGATCTCATTATTAAGAAATATGAATATATACAGTAATGAGTAAATTTTCGAAACGTGAAGAAAAATTGTCATTCTGTTAACAGCAAAGAGAAATTAACCAACAATCTGACGAATAATTTAAATATTCCTTTTCTGATAAATAGTGCAATATTTCTATTACCACAGTAAATTAAATATAAAAAAGTTTACATCTATGCGTGAAATTATTTGTCAAATTACTATTAAAAATACACAAAAGCAATTGATGCAAGAATTAATAAAGTGAAAAAGTGTAATAAGTAAAAATTTTTTATAAATTACAATTATATACGAGATCCTGATAGACAAATAATAATAAAATATATAAGGTCGTGTAATTACGATTAAACATGAATTAAAATTTCCAATTTACCTGCTCTATTATATTTACCTGCAAATGAGTAAGGTGATAATAACTGTATCTCTATAAAACTGACAAACTTACAACAAGTGTATCCAATTTAGGCGACCAAGATTTACGTTGAAATTTAATATACTACTTCAGCAAGTACTACGTGAAATAACAAAGTGACAATTGCAACGCTGTAATTTTCCATTTAAATTTGAATCACTTTTATAATCACTTCGTAATAACACTTACTTTTGTAAACGATACTCGTTTCGCTTACTCAGATTCAACGCGTGCATTTCGCGTTCCGTTTATGCGCGCCTTTGAAAATCGTAATAAGGTAGAAGCACGTGTGTCCACTCGTTACATCGTGAAACGGTAAGAAACCCGAGAGCTCTCGTAGCCGCGATATAAAATCTAATTTATGAAAAGACGTAGGCAGCGATATTCGTCTTACACGAGTCCCGGCCGCTATTTTCTTTCGCGACTAAGAAGGTACCTACCTTACCCACCTACTCTACACGTTCCTGAAAATTTACGAAATTCATTCTTCGTTCCGTGGCTTCCGAGCAAAGAAAACAGTATCGTGACACGGCCGATTAATTTACGCCTGACATTGCAATCTTACACGCGGCCAACTTAAAAATATACCGAAGATGAAAGGAAATATTCTGGTTAGAAAGACGAACAGATGGAATAATACCGTCGAATTGTGAAAAAATTGCTGGAATTTTGAGGAACAGTTGGGACAGAATTTTTAAGAAAATCGTTACGCACTCCCAGAAATATTCAGACGTTGTAATACAGCTGTAACATTATTTCTCATTGTTGTTAGCCACTTTTAAGATTTAATTTTGAAAATTGTCCGAGTCGTTTGAAATTAGAAAAAGGCCACATTTTTATAACTATTATACTTAATTATTTGATTGTTAATCAACGGGTTTAAGAACCCTTTAGTATACAGGCGTTGAAATTCGCACAGAGCAGTAGCATAATATACAGTAGAAAATAAAGAGGGAAAGAAAAAGAAAAATAAATGAAATAAAATGAGAAAACAGAAAAATAACAGAACAACACGCAAGACAAAGAGTGAATTAAGGATTATTTACAGCGGTTAGATCAGAGTGCTTAAACGATAGATAAGAAATCGCGAAAAAATTCAGATTATTGAAAAATTTGTTCGCCTTGGTGCATAAACCAACGTAGTAATAATTATGCTAATTGTACTGTTATAGTTAGAAGAGGATGATCTACAACGTTGTTTTTATTCCAAACATGAAATTCTTTGTGCTCGTTTAGAGAGTTATTGTTTTGTCGAATTAAAAATATTGCAAATACTAAATATCTTTATGATAATTAAAAAGAAAATTGAATACAAACAGCAAAGCAATAGTACCAAACTCGTAACAATTTAATTTGTAATTTATTAAACTCATTTTCACTTTAACTTCACTTCAAACTCATTTTCGAATGATCAAAAAGTGATATTCTATCGAACGATGCATCGTAGGGTAATTATCCCGTAAAATGTGTTACGTGTATCTTAGTCACAGTTAAATTAACACTAGAACAAGCAACCGGGTCAAAAGTGACCCATCGGTGACCTTCGAAATGTAATTTTTATGTACTTAAAACCTGATTGAAAGATTCGATTCGAAGCATACACACTTTGAAAACGAAGCGAGAACATTCGCATTTTTTAGAAAATTGCCAATGGGTCATTTTTGACCCAGCTGATAGTTCCAGTGTTACGAGCCGCTGTACTGAAATGTGCTCTGAAAAAAGCTTAATTCCTCCACGTGTTCGAGACGAGATGTGTTACACGCTGACCGTGCTGTTTGAGATAATAGACGGATACTGTTGGCTAGATGATAAATAGATATATGCACCCACAGCTGTCACCGATACTAGGCTGTATTAAGTGTTACAGAAGAATGGAGGCTAAAGGCCAGCCTCCACTTAACCAAGTCAAATCAAATCGAGAAAAAAATTCTTGTAATTCTATAAAATACATTACGAAGCCTAACACGTCTAGACAGTGAAATATTAGCCTCTTCAAGCTGAAGTTTCGTGATTTTTCAATATTGTTGTAAACTGCATATTTCATATATACTGTGTGTTCCTTTTAATTCGTATCACTGTCGTTATCGAACATTCATTGTTTTTTGTTGTAATTGTATAAAATATATAATGAAGTCTGACAAGCCTAAACAATGAAATATTAGTTTCTTCGAATAAAAATTTTGTGATTTTTCAAAATTGTTGCAAATTGCATATTTCAAGTATACAGGGTGTTTCTTTTAACTCGTGTAATTAAAATATCACTATCATTATCGAACATTTAATTCACTTTTTTTTTCTTTTTTTTTTTTTTGAAGAATTGCTAATGAAATAAAATGAAAATCTTTCTATATCGAATTCGTATCAGTGTCATCCTGTTACAGTTGATTGAAAACACTAAACAATGCAATTACAAATGGTGTGATTAATAATTGAGAGTACTTAAACTTCTCGTAGTGTGTGTCAATCAAGTGGGAAATTAGGATGATCCCATACACTCGTTTATATTTTAGTTTACTAGATGAGAACAGATTAAGTCAATAAGAACGTGGAATGTGTGTTCATGATTCATGTTCACGATAAGAAAATATATATAAATTATTTTCTACCACTTTTAATTTTTTTACATTAACTTTTTTCATTTCTATAATAATTTGTGAGAAAATATGCCGAAACATGCGATGAAATTTTTGTAATTTGATAAATATTGTAGAACTTCTTGTTTTATCTGTTGTAGACCAATGCGGAAAGTGTCGGGCCAGCACTAAAAGATTAAACCTGAACAAGTATTGCAAAAGAGATTATGGTAAGTGTGCAAAAAAAAATATTTTGTATCGTTATACGTATATTATAGAAAAGAATTCTAAAAATGGTGATTATCGCAAAGAATGATTTTCTTAGAACAGTGTTTATCCGGAAAATCTGTGAATGATTAGGAAATTTGATCCAATAACGCATTGTAAAAAAGTCTCAATTTTTTTCTTTTGATTTTGTGCAAAATTCGATTTTTGCCCAAATATGGATAAATTCTTATATTATTTTCAAAGCTAATTTCCTATGCTTTCAATACAAATCTTGACAAATGCAATCGTACACTTGAGGTGTCACTAACAAACCTAGTTTAAATCTCAATTTTTTTTTAATTTAATGCAAAATTCGATTTTTGCCCAAATATGGATAAATTCTTATATTATTTTCAAAGCTAATTTCCTGCGCTTTCAATACAAATCTTGACAAATGCAATCGTACACTTGAGGTGTCACTAAGAAACCTAATTTATATCTCAATTTTTTTCCAATTTTATGCAGAATTCGATTTTTGCCCAAATATGGATAAATTCTTATATTATTTTCAAAGCTAATTTCCTGTGCTTTCAATACAAATCTTGACAAATGCAATCGTACACTTGAGGTGTCACTAACAAACCTAGTTTAAATCTCAATTTTTTTTTAATTTAATGCAAAATTCGATTTTTGCCCAAATATGGATAAATTCTTATATTATTTTCAAAACTAATTTCCTCTGCTCGAAAAAAAAAATTAATGCACTCTTATTACATTCCTTTGTGATTCATTTTCTATGCAACCAGTAAGAGTAACACTATTTCTTGATTTGTGGTCTAAAATAAAATAGCAGGTAGTACTACTGTAGATGGTGTTGTATAACTTCGTTTGTTGCACCATAAGCGGTACTCGTTTTTCCATGTCCGTAAGCGAAGCAGCCGCAAATAGAACAGCTCCTTTTACGCTTGCATATTGAGATGCGAAAAAATTCGAAATCTACGCTTAAATTAGAAACCACCGTTCAACTTTCAACGATTAATATACGGGAAAAGAAAGAGAAATCACAGAAACCATTAAACAATAAAGAACGTTGTTGAAGTAAAATTTATATGCTAATGATAATTAGCCCTTTACACTGCGAATATAAATTTTTCAGTGACAACACATTTTCAGGCTATTTAATTTATTGAAAAATAGATTTTTCAGTGACAAGACATTTTCAGATTATTTAATTTGTTGAAAAATAAGTTTTTCAATGATAAGCCATTTTCACACTATTTAAATGATTGAAAATTATGTTGTATCAGTGAAATAAATATTTCTCCTTAATTTTTCATAAAAAAGCATCGATAAAATTACGCATCGAAATTTATTAAAAATTTGTTAAACGAGAAAATACTACATGAGATATCTTATTCTTTCTAATTTAGCTATCCTGGGCAGAATAACAGACAGGCACAAAAAGAACGATGGTTCTCCGGGTGGGGCAAGCGTATCAGGTTCAGTTTGGATACGTTTTACCTTAAACATTGACTTCATTTACAAGAAAGCTCCGAATTCAAGGATTCGTCGTGGCGATGTGTTCCTTTACGTACATTCAGCCGATTTAGCCTGCAGATGCCCGAAAATTAAACCGAACAAGTAAGTTACGTACGATGTAAATCTGTTTTTAAAAAGGATTAGTATAGTCGGTGGAAGAAATATAGCGAGTCGTAAATTAAAGCATTAAGTAGCAGCACCGATTGATGCAGTAGCACCCAGAATCGAATGCGGCATTTTTCGTTTTTCGATTAGGGCTGAATCATAGCTAATATTCAAAATGTCCAAAATTGGAAATGAAAAGTATTCAAAATGTCCAAAATTGCAAATGAAGAATATTGAAAATGTCCAAAATTAGAAATGAAGAATATTCAAAATGTCCAAAATTGGAAGTGGAGTATTCAAAATGTCCAAAATTGGAAGTGACAAGTATTCAAAATGTCCAAAGTTGGAAATGTAGAGAATTCAAAATGTCCGAAATTAGAAATGAAGGATATTCTAAATGTCCAAAGTTGGAAGTGAAGAATATATAAAATCTCCAAAGTTGGAAATAAAGAATATTCAAAATGTCCAAAATTGGAAGTGAAGAATATTCAAAATGTCCAAAGTTGGAAATGTAGAGAATTCAAAATGTCCGAAGTTAGAAATGAAGAATATTCGAAATGTCCAAAGTTGGAAGTGAAGAATATGTAAAATCTCCAAAGTTGGAAATGAAGAATATTCAAAATGTCCAAAATTGGAAGTGAAGAATATTCAAAATGTCCAAAATTGGAA